CCATTGCTTTGCTTCCAGTAACACTTGGTTTAAATATACTTTATCCTGACATGAAAATAATTATGTTTATTTAATATTTGCCTAGCATGTTTAATGTTTTTATCTTTATTTTCAACATCGCTGTGATCACATATTTAAAGTATACATTATGAGCATCAAGCCTGACAATCTGTTTTTTAATTGGAATATTTCATTTACTTCCTTTACATGTAACAAATGTAAATATATAACATACATTACATTATATATAAATGCTCATGACTATATTACATTGAAAGTAAATATTTAGTTACATTAAAGTAAAGTATATGCTCCACTACTATCTACTGTGTGTACTATTTTTGTCTTCTTATGGCATTTTAGGGATTGCTTGTGTTTTTATTTTTAACATTATGCTTCCCATAGCATATTATTATGCATACATTACATTTTTTATAACATTAGTAGTTTCCTTAGATATTAAAAATACATTCCTTGATTTTTCTGAAAGTAATATAAATTGATACTTTTATCAAATTTCTGGCAATGTAAAAACCTTGGAACACTCTAACTCAATTTACCTTCTCACATATTTATGTTACCATTGTCAGTTCTCTCTATATTTCATTTCTCGGAATATATTGTTATTTCTATTATTTTGTCGATTGTTACTTACATATATACTACTTTTATATATACCCCACATATTTGTAATTCCTGATGCTTTTTTCTTTTCTCCATTTCTATTTACCATTTGGGGATAAAATTCCTACTGCTTGGAAAAATAACTTTAGTCACCCACGGACATAGACTTGATGACAAAATGCCTACAATGTTTTTACTTCATCAGTATTTTCAAAGGATATTAGTAGGAGATATAGGAATCTCTACTCAGAGTTTTTTCCTTCAGTGCTTTGAAAAGTCATACCACTAACTTCTGACTTTCACTATTTCTGCGTGAAGGTCCTTTGAGGACAATATATGTCCTAAACTCTTGAATACCAATTTTTAAGATCTTTTCTTTGTCTTTGATTTCTCAGCAGTGTAACACGTAATATACTTTTATTTGTATCCTGCCTGGGTTTCTTAATGCTACTGAGTCTACTGCTTGATGCCTATTTTGGAAAATTCTCTGCCCGGCAGCTTCAGTTATGTCTCTGTTTCATCCTCTCTCCTTTCATTCTGCTACTACAGTAATAAATTCGGCTATCCTACTATTCCATTTACTAGATGGTACCAAAAGTAAGTAAAAAAGATAATATATATATAGTAAGAGTCTGTATTTGTAACATATATAACTGACAATGGTTATTATTTGGAATATATAAAAGCTCCAACAAATTAATAAACAAATAATAAAAAGACTAGTGAGTATATACACAACAGTTCATTATACTACAGTAACTAAACCGTAGCAAAATGTTACAAAAGTTGCAAGAATGAAAACGTATTTGTTGTTGATGGGACACAGATTTTTTAAAAATAAATAAGTCTTTTTTTTTAAAGATTTATTTATGTATACAAGAACTGGGGTACAGGCCAGACATGTGAAACGGTGAGAGAATTTACCAGAGACAGAGCAGAGAGCAGAACAGGCAGACGGACTAAAGATACTGCTGAGGGGAGCAGTGGGCGAGGCAAGAGAGGTCTGCTGTGCCATGTGGGGTTCTCCCTGGCCGGCCGGGAATTGAACCTGCGCTGCAGAGACTGGACAGCTTCAAAGCGCTGTGCTCAACCTGCAGGGCCTCCTGGGAGGCCTAGAACACAGATTTTGAAACAATTTAGGAGTTTTACTCCATTTCTGATTCCTCTGGCTCTGACCCTTCCTCTCTCTCAGAGGACACTTTGTATATAAACATTTGTGTAGAAGACACTTGAAAGTAAACATTTCTGTCACTCTTGGCAGAAAGGAGAACCAACTGTCTCATGGCATCTGATTTCTAGCCTGACTCTAAGACCTGGCTTCCCACAGGGGTCGCAACCCAAGAAAGGGGTGCACAACAGCAGTGCTCCCTAATTAACCACAGTCTAGCCTGACTCTAAGACCTGGCTTCCCACAGGGGTCGCAACCCAAGAAAGGGGTGCACAACAGCAGTGCTCCCTAATTAACCACAGGGGCCTGGAGTTGCCTCCCCTGGCACGGGGGAGATCCCGCAGAAGGTAGACTGTCTCCCATCTGACTATTCCCCAAGACACCTCGTGGAGTGGCTATAGCCTACTGCTCACAGGGCTGCAAAGCAGGAAGATGAAGATGTTTGGGAGGCAGAAGCTGGCCCTTTAGGATTCTGGAAGAGGCAGGCGTGGGATGAGAGGCAAGCTCTGTGCTTTGGGCTATGGGTGAGTGGCTTCGTTTGCTATAACTTGGGAAAGATTCTCACAGAATCAGATTTCTGTCAGAGCCATCCCCTATCAGAGCTTACCAGGCAACCGGCTCTAGACTCCTTTCACCTCCACTGAGTTCTGGGCTAGATTCTAATCTTGGAAGCTTGTGGTTCATTTAGTGTAATCAGGAAAGGGCTTTAAGAATCAAGGACTCCAGGACAACCAGCACAGCTCGCTAGCTGAGACCCAGGGTCTCCATTCTTCCAGAAAATGCAGGAGCCCTGTTAGATCAAAGTTGGAGCCTGGAATCTGCTTTAAGTTGTCCTCCCGTGTGTATTGTCTTTCCTTCCTGAAGACTCAAGTTCCTAAAGAGGTGCCACTTTTTCCAAGTTTCAATTTTCTCTTCCCTCCATAATGTACAGTCCATGAAGCATAAAGTTAGTTTCCTGCTTGTCTCCCCATCACCTCTGAAGTGAGAATTTTCTGTCCTAATAGGAAAGTATGTAGGGGAAAATAAAACCAAAAGTTGTTAAAATGATTTAAAAGTCTCATGTATTTTCATATTATATCTCAGGTTTATAAGTTCAGATTATATATGGAATCCTCTAACAGCCACAGAAAGATCTTTTTCAATAAGAGAATTGACAATTTTACTTTACAGAAAGATTATTTCAGTAACTTTAATGGCGGGTGATTGGAGTAAAACAAGTCTGAGTACAAAAAGAAAATTAAGGCAAGAAATTATTAGAGCATGAAATATTTTTCTTGTGAATATCTGTTTTATAAGGTAGATTTTTTTAAAGGAAAACAAAGAAATTTTTTCTTTCATATTGCTCCTGCTTCAAGATAGATTTAATATTCTGATGTATCTATGAAAAGCAAGGTCAAAAAGACATTAAAAAATTTTGGTCACTATATATCAAGTGGACTTTCTGGCTATTTAAAGTCTCTGGAATTCTAGTTTCTAAATAATTTTATCTCTTTACTAAATCTTTGACCAATTAAAAATTGTGTGATTCTTTCAGGTAATGTCACTTACTTTCTCCATGTGTGTATTTAAATTAAAATTTGACAAATAATTGAATTTAGCATTATATAAATTTAAGATGGACAACATCTTAAATTTATGTGATAGATTAAATTGATGTGATAGATTATTATACTGCAATATGACCACCATGACAATGCCAGCTAACTCTATCTTGTCACATATTATAGAGGTGCCATCTCCAGCAAACTCAGACAGCAAAGATACCAACGTTTATTAGCAAGTAGGCACATCAGCCACACCAAACCTGTCCTTCGAGCTCATGTAAGTCCCCACTGTGCTCTGTACGTTGGGCTGCCTGGTTAGTGGAATGAATGAACATTTCTATCAAAGACAAAATGTAACACTGGTGGAAAAACTATTCTTATGGTGAGATCACATGATGTTTTCTCTCTTAGGGAAGAAACACAGGTGAGAACAAATCATGGGATCATATTACCCTTCATGCTTTATGGGCTCTGTAGTTCATTCTGTTCTTCCATTCCTCCAACAAGTGCATTGGTATAATTCTAGCCAATTCATAATCTTGATAGCCTGATTTTTGCCAAAAATAATAATACTAATAATAATTTCAACTTTTTGTATGCCAGTGGGACATTTTTCTCAGTTGGTGATATGCTGCTCCCTCTGTTCTTTTGCAGGGACATGGTGAATTCTGGACACATCTGGTAATCATGAGTGGGATGCAGTCTGGCAGGTAGAGGCCAGAGGTGCTGCTGACATCCATGAAGCATAGGAAAACTTCCCATCTCACTCAGTACAGAATTATCTGGTCCAAAGTGCCATCAGTGTGAATACTGAGAAAACCTGCTATGTCCTATTAATAAAACCCATGGTGTAGCTAGAGATTATGGCTATTTGGAGCCCTGGCCAAACCTCCCTCTGGATGTAGACTGCTGATTGAAGTCTTTCAAATGTTGTAAAACCATTCCTTGGGTGTGATTTCTTGAACAATATATTTTGGGTATTAACTAACCCATTTTGTGATGTAAATTAAGACAAACTTGAACACAGGTAAGTCTAACTTGTATTTAAAAGTAAATTAAATTCAGTATCACATTTGATTTTTTCTTTTTACTTTATTTTTAATAACAAGGTTGATCAAAAGGAGATTGTATCTACCCTTTAGTTTTAAGATACCAATTTAAAAGGCTTTATTCTTATCCTCAGAAGGAATCATTTTGTTACAACAAAGTCTCCAAAAGTTCATCACAAAATTGCCTATCTACTTAAGATATTTTCAATTTTCTAGTATAATAAATATTCCAAAGAATATTCTAATATATACTATTTAATATGTTTTCCTATATATAAATATATTCCTTAGGCTACATGGTAAAAAACTAAACAATCTCCATGTTCATGATTAATGAAACAAATTGCCATTCAGAAGAATTTATGAAATTCAAATGTTGGAAGAGCAAAATTATTTGCTTACTTTATGGACAATTGTATTATAATCACTAAAGAGTTTTTGCCAATCAGGCAGGAACACTTTATAATTTGCAGAGCAACTCACATACTATAGTCTTCTAAATCAACTTAACTTCAAGACAATTAGCTATGTAAGAAGTTTGTGTATGTTATTGAATGTGCGTAGATTCCTGACTCTGCAATTGATTCCATCAGCAACAAGTGAACAGGTGAAAGCATGGATCTGAGGAATCAGACAATGGTCACTGAGTTCTACTTTTCTGATTTCCCTCAGTTTGAGAATGGCAGCCTCCTATTCTTCATTCCTTTGCTCTTTATTTACATGTTCATTATTGCTGGAAATTTCATGATCTTCTTTGCTGTTCGGCTGGATACCCGTCTCCACAACCCCATGTACAATTTCATCAGCATCTTTTCCTTCCTGGAGATCTGGTATACCACAGTGACCATCCCCAAGATGCTCTCCAACCTGATTAGTGAGAAGAAGACCATCTCCTTCATTGGCTGCCTCCTGCAGATGTACTTCTTCCACTCACTAGGGGTAGCAGAAGGCCTGATCCTCATGGTGATGGCCATTGACAGGTATGTTGCCATTTGCAACCCCCTCCGCTACCCAACCATCATGACCCCCCGGCTGTGTGTTCAGCTCTCTGCTGGCTCCTGCATCTTTGGCTTTCTTGAGTTGCTGCCAGAGATTGTGTGGATTTCCACACTGCCCTTCTGTGGTCCCAACCAAATCCATCAACTGTTCTGTGACTTTGAGCCCGTGCTGCGTCTGGCCTGCACAGACACGTCCATGATCCTGGTGGAAGATGTCATCCATGCCATTTCCATCCTGATTTCTGTCTCTGTCATCACCCTTTCCTATCTCAGAATCATCATCGTAATCCTGAAGTTTCCCTCGGGGGAAAGTCGTCAGAAGGCCTTCTCCACCTGTGCTGCCCACATCACCATTTTCCTGCTGTTCTTTGGCAGTGTGACACTTATGTACCTGCGCTTCTCTGCCACCTTCCCCCCACTGCTGGACAAGGCAATTGCACTCATGTTTACTGTCCTGGCCCCATTTTTCAACCCCATAATCTACAGTCTGAGGAACAAGGACATGAAAGATGCCATCAAGAAAGTTTTTTGCTCCCAAACACTGCCCAATGTCTCTGGAAGCCACTGAGAGGGCACACACTCTGTTCAAAGAAATAGCTCTCTAAGTTTAAAACCCTGCAATTGGTGTCCAAAATGATTGTGCGTGCTGTATTTAATGATGGTGACTGGGTGTTCTCTCTGCCTACCTTAAGAACTAGCACTTAATCTGAGAAAGGAAACTTTCTGCGATTAACCTATCTTATATCATTTATCAATCTTAATGAATATTGTCTTTACTTTGTAACTCAAAATAGAGTTTATTATCTTGTCTGAATAGATAGAGGTTACTGGTCTAAGAATTCCCCTTACCTGCTCTTTCATCCATATTCAGGATTCCCTCATATCAGGTATTGTAGGTTTTCACCTACGAAGTTGTGCAGCATGAGGTGGTTTGCTCCTAAGCCAGAGCCTGGCTTCCTCATCAGTTTGAGAGGCCTGGACCTTCTGTCCCTCATCCTTGTCGGGGGCAGTGACCATGGGGCACACAAAACCGTGGACTTCATCATGTGTGTCATGCTGTGTTATCAGCTCCTTCCTGGGTTATCTTTCACATTGTTTTAAAATTCCAGAGCAACACTTGGAAGCTTGAAGATTAGAAGATAAAATACATAGTCTTGGGCCCAAAAATCAATATCTAAATTACATAGATAACAGCTATGCCTTGATGTGTTCACTTGTAAAAGAACTGTCACTGCTCTTACAAATGTTCTTATGATGTGTTGAAACACACCCAGGGGCCTGTTCTGAGTGGTCCTCTGCTCTGGGGTGCCCCACCTCTCCTTTCTTGAAGCTGACATGTACCCTTCAGAAGCTTGCACACACTTTAGATGGCCCTGCCATCTTTCACAAAACCACAGTGGGAGTAAACTGCCCCCAGAAAAGGAATGCTGCCTGCTCCTTTAGAAAGTAGAAGAGGAACAGGACAACAGGCAGTGGTGTCAGGGGAGCAGAAGCCAGGAGGTGAGGCAGAGAGTGGGATGTTCTGAGCAGAAATAGCAGTGGCACAGGACCCAAGACAGGTCCCATTCAATCCCAGGCAGGCTTCAGGATTTTTGGCTGACCCCCTGGGGGAGTGAATGTGGAAGAGGAGCACCCTCAACTCCAGGCAGCCAGACCCCACCCCTCCCAGCTCAGGGGTCCAGTTCTGTTAAACTCAAATCCTCTCCCATACCGAGTCAGCTTTTAAAACCCACGGGAAGATGTTTGCATAAAGGAAATTATGTGGAGGAGCCTTTGGTTATAAAATTAAATTATTTGAGGTAAACATTCAGAAATATAGCCTCTTGATTTTTGAATTCCTGCTTAATATTCTGTTTATAATCTAATAAAAATTATCATTCACCTAAAAGGTTTTGACCAATCTTTTTGTCTGATTTTATCTACTTGACGATTATACCCTTTAAACTATATTAAAAAAAGATTTGCTTGTTTTTTAAATATGTTAATCCTGAGATTCAATAAACAAAGCCTCCATAGGTTTGAAATATATCTACTGTAATTGAAAAACACCCAAATTAGCAACTTATAAATACACTTAATTTTAAAATTCATATAAGTGTTTCAGAACTGTTATAAAGTAGTAAGAGTTCTATTTTTCAAATTTATTTATTTGTTTGAGGTAATACTGGTTTATTTCACTGCTACAGTGAACACTGGAGTGAATATATAAGCAAATGGCTACCAGGATCATCCAGATTCCTGGGACCGGAGGTCATGTCCCATGACTCCTAGCAGGGATCTGGGGTCTGTTAGTTGGCAACCGGAGGCTCGGTTTCTGCCACTGTGACTGGAAGCTGGATACTGTCTGGTATTGCTATTGCAGCTGGAGGCCAAATATGTGGAAACTTTGTAGGTTGTGTTATGAATTGTTTGAATGGCAGATGGAGAGGAGCAGACATGAAAGTGGACAAAGTGGTTTCAGAGACAATTTCAATCCTCTTTGGCTACAAAACAAACCACCCTCAAAATAATTAGATTAAAAATGCTATTTATTTATCTCAGAATTATGGGTCAATTTGGGCTAAAATCAATTGGTGGTTCTTCTAGCTCTAGATCATCCTTGTGTCCAGGGTCCGCAGCTGGCCAGAGCTACGCCAAAAGGACAGCCTCAACTGAGACTTTTGTTCTTGCTTCGATGCTTTCCCTCTTCCAGCGGGCTGGTCTGTGGGGCTTACATATGAGTGGTGAGTGTGTGAAATGCAGCCTAAGTGGCAGTGCTTCTTGAGGACTTGGCTCAGACTGGACACATGACTTCTGTTGCATTTTCTGCACATGTCAAATCACAAAGAGAATGCAGAGAAGGGAAAGAGAGTTCACTTCTTGGTGGGTAGAGTTGCTAAATCATGGTGCAAGGGGCGTGGGAATAGTTTGTGAGGTTTTTTTTCCAATAGAGATTACTGGCATCCTTACCCCATGCTAAACTCTTCATGGGAACCGCTACAGTTAATCATGTATATGTGGGCTCAATGACTAGGCCAACAGTGGTCAGTGTGGAGAAGTGTGGTAAAAGTGCATCTTCAGCAAAGCAACATAGAGTTGTTGTTTATCTCACAGTCAACAATGCCTCCTCCATAGTCAACAATGTTTTTGCAATGGAAACTGCATCTTCCTTAGGGAAATTCAAAAGACTATAACAAAAGCCACTCTTCTTTCAGTGGGGAGGGAAGTTTAAAAATTTCCTAATTTTTTTTTGAAGATTTATTTATTTATTTATACAAGCACTGGGTACAGTCAGAAGCATGGGAGGTGAGAGAATTCACCAGAGCCAGAGCGGAGAGCAGAACAGGCAGACTGACGAAGTACACTGCTGAGGGGAGCAGCAGGCAGCAGGAGAGGTCTGTGCGCCATGTGGGACCCTCACCTGGTGGCCGGGGATCGAACCGGCGCTGCAGAGGCTGCGGGCAGCTTTGCAACCCAGTGCTCAAACTCTGTGCCACTGGGGAGGCCCCAAAAAAAGTTTCCTAATCTTATTGGAAGCAATAATTCTTCCTACAAGTGTAACTTCATGTGTATTTATTCTGAGCAATTCTATCGAAGAGGTTTCCTTAGTTTAGAAAGATTTGGAGTTCCTGACCCTACAGAGAATTCATGAGGAAAGACCATGGCTGGATGTGAGTGGGGGGAGTCTTCTGCTAATTAACCCATGGGGAAAAGGAACTGATATTTTCTCTAGTTATCAGGGGAAATCCTCCAGTAGAGCACTCTCCCAAGAAGGTTTTAGAAACAGGTAAAAGTCTCATTGGGAAGGAACCTAGACATTATAAACCCAGGAAGGAAAGGACCTCATTGTCTGCCTGAGGTAAGAGGAACATGCATGGGATAAAGGTGTAAGATTGTCCTTTGTCAAGGGACTGGAAATTGCCTACTGGGTTAAGGAAGGGCATGTATCCAGTGCACCTTCTGTTAATTTAGATAACAATATTTGGGGACACACTTGATTGCATAAGCAGCTTGATTTAATGGAAACAGCTGAGGGGGAGGAGAGGCAATGCTAGGATTACCTATCAGTGTTAATTTTGTGTTTTATTTACAACATGATGGGTTGAATAATTAAGAATTTTTTGCTAGTAATGATATAGTTCTCTGCTTTCACATCTTCAGAGCTTTTCTAAATTAATTTCGATCTAAGAGGATACCATTTTACATACTGATCTCTGTTCTCAGACAAATGCACATAAAGCACCTGGGAAACCACAAATAAAGGAGGTCAGATGCAGCAGAGGGTCCTATCACTGATCAGCCTACCACAATGTATTGAGTCAAGCTGAAAACAGTACTTATCCTCAGATCAGGTTATACACCCCTTGCTTCCTCAAGGGAAATTGGATCAGTTCCTTTCTCTCCTCCCAGGCTCCAACAGATAAACTTGTGGGGGGCATATTACTTTCTGTAGAGTAGAAAATTGATTTTCCTAAACCCAAATTCTACTGAAAAATTAATGCCATTCACTTAAGAGAAATAGAGATTGCAGAAACACAAAAAGATAGTAACTGATTGATTCAGATTCTTTAGAACTGTCTCAGTTCTAAGGAATTAGTAGTTGGCATCTCTATACTGATTTGTAAATGGAGATGTATAAATCTTCTTTGCCCCTTAGTTTCCTCATATGCACATTTCAGGGACTCAGAGCTTCCAGGTATGAAAGCAACAGTAGCAGGTTAAAGCAACGACAAGCTTAAAGGGAAAGAAACAGTGAGACTTTTAATCATTTGCTCTGCCAACGTTGCTAGAGAGAGTGCTGACTCCTCAGCCCTTCTGTGCTGCTCCATATCTCCCAACTGAGCAGCTACTAAGAGTCAGGTGGATCAGGGAAGACATAAGATTCATTTCACTGGTGAAGAAGTCCTGAATAAAAGGTTTCCATGATTTCATCTTACCTTGAGCTTGTGGGGAGGATATGGAGTGGCATAAGTCAAAGCGAGGAATGAGTCTTCAAGGTTTTTCGTCTTCCCACATAAAGGAGTTTCAGCTGGGGCACTGGAAGAGGACCTTGGCTGAAGGATTCAGATAGAGAGCTGTGACTGGAGATGTGGGGTGAGTGTGGGCATGCAAAGAGCAGGACTGACTGAAGGGGCCCAAGTCCTTGTCTGGGAGACCTGCCTGGGAAGACTTTGGGATTGCCTGTAGGCAGGCCTGGAAATTCACACAGGTTCTCAGTCAAGATCCACATTCTTTGGTGTGTCTGTATGTTTGAGGTAGAAGGTAAAGCTTGTAGGAACTTCTGTGTCCTCATTATTTTATTCTTATGCATTGAACACTTAAATCTGCTTCCTCTATTCAAAACTTTCACATCACTGTATCTCTTCCCTTTCTCTTTTAATCACATGTCAGCCTTAGTGTGTTTCTTTCTCCTTGGGTTTTGACAAGTCTAATATTTTTGTGACTTTCAAATCAGCCCTTGTTCCTACATTCTTTCTGGGTTTTTCCAAGTTCTTCAATTCACTTCTCCTAAGCTCTGAAGAATTCGGAAAACCCAGAAGGACTGGTCCATTCTAATGGACATCCAGAGAAATGCTACAGTTCCCCTTCTCTACTGGGTGTTGGGTTTTGCAAAAGTGATCCATCAAAATAACTGCTAAAGAATTCCCCAAAGATTTGGGGTACTGAAACATTGCATTTGCTTGGAACTGAGCTCTTTAGGCTCAAAATACTTTGATACTGTTTTTGAAGGTTTCAACAAAGACTTGTTAATTAACCTACTGTTGAGAAACATCATTGATAATGGGGGAGTATTCTGAAGCTATAGAGAGCAATGCTTCCCTTCCCTATCTTTCCTATAAATCCCCACCAGCCCTTTATCCTTGGCAAATGACACTCTGAGCCTCCAATGTCTATTTACCTTCATCCTTAACTGAATCAATCTCTCTTCTAAGGATTTTACTTTGTCCCAATGAACACTGCCTGTTTTTCTTCTTCCCATGTGCCTCTTGAGAAAAGTTCCAGGGGATCGCTTTTAATATTCTCTTTTTCTTTACATTGCTGCTACCAAAAGGTTGTTCTGTGGTATTTGGCTTGATGAATTTCCCTGTCATTCTTAGTTGGGTCCTCAAGAGGGATTATGATCCTAGGAATGACTCATCTAACTTATAATCTTTTACTAAATTACTTTGAATTCATACTGTCAGTTTCCTTCTATGTCTAGACTTCAGACATATGCTAAGTATTCCATTTTTAGTGTTTTAAATATTAATATATTGTACTGTAAAATTATAGTGTTCCATTTAGCTCACTTGCTGTGTATACTCTTTAATCCCCTTGAACTACTCAGTCTCTAAATTTCCATTTATTCCATAATTATCAGTGTATTACTGTCTTCACAATCTTATTCAACCATTTTATTTATTTATTTATTTATTTATTTATTTTTATTTATTTATTTTTAAAGATTTTATTTATTTATATAAGCACTGGGGTATAGACCAGAGGCACAGGACGAGAGAATTCACCAGAGACAGGGCAAGGAGCAGAACAGGCAGAAGGACCGAACACATTGCTGAGGGGAGCAGAAGGTGTGACAGGAGAGGTCTGCTGTGCCATGTGGGTATCTCCTTGGCTGGCCGGGAATCAAACCAGCACTGCAGAGTCTGTGGACAGCTTCACATCGCTGCGCTCAACCTTCTGTGCCACCAGGGAGGCCCTATTTATTTTTTTTAAAAGATTTATTTATTTATGCATACAAGAACTGGTGTACAGGCCAGAGGTGTGGGGGGTGAGAGGATTCACCAGAGACAGAGTGGGGAACAGAACAGGCAGATGGACTGAAATACACTGCTGAGGGGAGCAGTAGGCTAGTCAGGAGAGGTCTGCTGTGCCATGTGGGTATTTCCCTGGCCTGGGATTGAACTCGTGCTGCAGTGGCTGTAGATAGCTTCATAGGTTGCTTCTTAACCCCCTGTGCCACCAGGGAGGACCCTGTTCTACCATTTTAAACTCTTTTTCATCTTTACCTTTTACTATTATCTATTAGATTTTTTTCTCATACAAAAATCTACCTTGCTCTGTCAGATGCCTTGAGTCTATGCCATCATTCAACCTTTTAGACACTGCAACCAAATTCCTGAATACTACTACAGGGGAAAACAAAAACATGACCTCCAACCACAGGTAGATCATGAAGATATCATGGGGACCATGCAATATACTAATATGCATTTTTCCCATGAGACATTTCCCTCAGGGGTTTGGTGCATGCTTCAACCCCCTCTACTCTTTGTATTTGTTTGTTTGGATTTTCTCCTTTGTACTGATTCTTCCCCTTGAATATACAGATATTAATTTGATAAAAATTAAAATAAGCACATAACCCAAATCTTCTTCCTTTTCCTCATATCCCCAGTACCTACTTTTTTTTGTCTCTTTCTCTCTCTGCTTTCACATCCAAATCTATTAAAAATAAACTGGTTTGCAGTCATTGTGCCTGATAAGTCATTCACTCAGCTATTAAAATAAAAATTAGTTACTATGTATATCATGATTGGGGATGCAATCATATATAATTGGTCATATTTATAAGCTGCAAATACCTATCCATGTACCAGATGCTGTATAAAGAGCATAAAAACCATTGACAATTGATACCTCTAGGACAATAACATTTACAATAATCTTATTTTATGAAGATCTGAGAGACTTTCATGTATAAGAAAAATAAACATGTTCTAATTTTCTGTGGGCATTTGATTTTCTAGAAGCTGCCAAAGTAATGTTTGTCAAATTTACTCTATTTTAGCCAATATAGCCTAATACATAGGATTATTACTATCTTATTTGCTTATTATTTGTCTCCTTCATTAGAATATACACTTCATGAAAGTAGAAACTGTTTACTACTAAATTCAACAAAACTATGTATTTGCTTGACATGTAGTAGGTACTAAATATTTATTTAATGATAAAGGTAAATGATAAAAATGACAAAGGTAAGCTATCTGACTAAAGTATTGCTTTATTTGAATCCTGTATGTGCTACATTTCTGATTGTTTATATTTCATCTAGGGAGTGAGCTGTGTGTCTTTCTACCCACTGTAATTAAGGCTGCCAAAACCATGGTGAGAAGTAACCAAACTTCTATGGTGACGGAGTTTCTCTTCTCTGGATTTCCCCAGTTTGGAGAGAGAAGCCTACTCATCTTCTTCCCTTTGTTAATCATCTACCTGTTTATTGTTATTGGGAATCTCATTGTCTTTTTTGCAGTAAGAGTGGACGCTCGTCTCCACAATCCCATGTATAATTTCATCAGCATTTTCTCCTTCCTGGAGATATGGTATACCACAGCCACCATTCCCAAAATGCTTTCCAATCTCATCAGTAAGAAGAGGACCATCTCCATAATTGGTTGCCTTTTGCAGATGTACTTCTTCCACTCACTAGGAAATTCAGAGGGGATTTTGTTGACTACTATGGCCATCGACAGGTATGTTGCCATCTGTAACCCCCTCCGCTACCCAACCATCATGACCCCCCGGTTGTGTGCTCAGCTCTCCGCTGGCTCCTGCATATTTGGCTTTCTTGTGTTGCTCCCAGAGATTGCATGGATTTCCACACTACCCTTCTGTGGCTCTAACCAAATCCATCAGATCTTCTGTGACTTTGGGCCTGTGCTGCGTCTGGCCTGCACAGACACATCCATGATCCTGGTGGAAGATGTGATCCATGCCATTGCCATCATCTTCTCTGTCCTGGTTATCACCCTCTCTTATGTTAGAATCATTGCTGTGATCCTGAGGATTCCCTCTGCTGAAGGTCGCCAGAAAGCTTTTTCCACCTGTGCCTCTCACCTAGGTGTCTTTGTGATGTTCTATGGCAGTGTCTCCCTCATGTACCTACGCTTCTCTGCCCCATTTCCACCGATTTTGGACACAGTCATTGCACTGATGTTTGCAGTTCTTGCTCCCTTTTTCAACCCGATCATCTATAGCTTAAGAAATAAGGACATGAAGATTGCAATTAAGAAACTCCTCTGCTTTGAGAAGGCGTTTAATGCATCGACAAGTTAATGCTAACTTGTAGGCCCCTCTCACATTGGATTCTACTCTAATATGAAACCATTGATAAACATATAACTCATCTACTGTCACAATGACATTTCCTGTCTATTTATCCCAGGTCTTCTTTTCATGTACATGCTTATTATATTTATGTGAGATAATTAAGTTATCATGTGTTACCAGTTTAGACTTGCAGAGACAAACAAGTAAAAGGAAATGTGATGTCTAAACCATTAAAAATATATTGTCTAACCACAAACATTAATCTTTTATTATTATACAAGTATTATTATTCAATAAGAATTAGTAACAGGGCCTCCCCGGTGGCGCAGGGGTTGAGCGCTGGGTTGCAAAGCTGCCCGCAGCCTCTGCAGCGCCGGTTCAATCCCCGGCCACTGGGTGAGGGTCCCACATGGCGCGCAGACCTCTCCTGCCACCCGCTGCTACCCTCAGCAGTGTTATTTCGTCAGTCTGTCTGCTCTGCTCCCTGCTCTGGCTCTGGTGAATTCTTTCACCCTCCTGTGCTTCTGACTGTACCCAGTGCTTGTAAAAATAAATAAATAAATCTTTAAAAAAAAAGAATTAGTAACAGCTACAAACTATAAAACAGTAGCATATTATCTGAAGAAGAGGTTAAGGTTCATATTTCACTGGTACCACATATTAGCCTTGTGACCTTGAAAAAGTTATTAATTTATCTTTCTGTGTCTTAGTTTCATTATCTAATAAATGGGTGAAAAATAATGTATTTTAAAAATAAATGTTCATGTGGTTATTATGAAAATTAAGTGAGTTACTCTAAGCAAAAATTAGTGCTAGCTGTTAATATCATTTGTCATTAATTTACAGGAGGTAAAGAGCTCAATAAATGAGATCAAGAACTAGAGAGAAAGCTATGGAAATAGGATAGATCAAATGAAGGACTGAATCAGTGACCTCAAAGATAGTAATACAGTAGGACACAGATGGAAGAAGAGAGAGAACCCACATATAAAAACAAACAACAAAAACATGAAGAGGCAATTCAAGAAATAACTTGACACCATTAAGAAAATCAATATAAGAATAATGGGTATCCCAGAAAGGGAAGGAAGGTGTTGCTGAGAACCTATTAAGGAAATAATAGAAGAAAACTTCCCTCACTTAGGGGAGAAATTAAATATTGATTGATATAAGTTAAGGACGAAGGTAAATAGACATTGTAGGTACAGAGAAGGTCATGTGCCAAACAAAAGAACTGTTGGGGATTCTCAGGAAGGATAGGAAGAATAGCATTGTCGAGAGTGGTAAAAGCAGAGTTATATTGGAATAAGACTCCTGCTAATCTAAAAAATGTAACCATATTGCATATGAATATATAAATGTATGTATGTACATGTGTCCTGTAATATAATATAAAATATATATCTTCTTGTGAACATAGTTGAGTATTTTAGTAATTCCACCTGTTGTTTATCACCACATTGCTCTGCTCTCATCAGTAATAATAAAATTCCATGAGAATTGTCTATCATTCTTTGATTCTTTCCTATTAAATTATCAAGTTAGGCTTTTGTATACCCTTTGGTGCATATTTCCCTTACTGAGCTTAATAATGACCTCCAGATTGCTAAATACAGTGATTAATTTTTAGTCCTTACTCTACTTGACTGTCTTCAGGATTAGACAAAGTCAATCAGTTTTCCTCCTTGACATAGGTCATTCTCTCGGCTTTCAAGACATGTGATTTTTCGTCTATATGTTTGATTACCCCTTTGGAATCACATTTTTGGATTCTTCCTATTTTCCCCATGTCTGTAATATTGGGGTAGTGGATAACTCAAACCCTGGTGGCTTCACCACAGCTTTAAATACATAATATATTCTAATGATGCTCACATATATCTTCATCCTAACCTTCACTGCTCACTATCTGACTTGTGTTTCTAGACTATTCAATATTTGGTAAACTGTTAATTAATGTCCAGAATTCACCATGTCCCTGCAGGAGAACAGAGGGAGCAGAATATCCCCAATTAAGAAAAATGCCCCACTGGCATACAGAAGGTTGAAATTATCAAAGTTAATGTTAGTGCAAAACCAGTTAACTAAGAGTGTAGATTGGCTGGAAATATACTAAAAACTCTTCTTAAAGGTATATAAGAATCTGATGAACCAACAGCATATAGAGCTTCAAGGGGGGCAAAAAGCCCACAATCTATTCATGCCTATGTTTCTTCCTTTACAGGGAACACACCGTCTGACACTTCCAGATGGTTAACTTCTGTACCAATGAGAATTTGGCTACATTTTGTCTTTGATAGAAATGTTCATTCATTCTACTAATGTATAGATTGGGGACTTCCATGTGCTCCAAGGACAGGTTTGGTGTGGTTGATGTGCCTGCTTGCTAATAAGTGTCAGTTACCAATGCAGAATCTAGCCTGCCTTCATTGTTTAAAAATATGGCAGTGAGTTTACTGGAGATAACACCTCTATAATATGTGACAAGATAGAGGTATTAGGCCTCCCTCGTGGCACAAGGGGTTAAGCACAGCATTGTGAAGCTATCTGCAGCCTCTGCAGCACAAGTTCGATCCCTGGCCAGGCAGGAAGCTACCCACATGGCGCGGCAGACCTCTCCTGTCTCACCCGCTGCTCCCCTCAACTGTGTATTTCAGTCACTCTGTTCCCCACTGTGTTTCTGGCGAATCCTCTTATCCCCTGCACCTCTGGTCTGTACCCCAGTTCTTGTATGCATAAATAAATAATCTTAAAAAAAAAGATAGAGGTGTTACCTGACACTGTCATGGTGATCATATTGCAGTATATAAATCCATCACATCAGCATGCTGAGCATCTTAAATATATATCATGCTATAGTAAATTATATGTCAATTGTGTTTTTTTTTTTGTTTGTTTGTTTATTTATTTATATAAGCACTGGGTACAGTCAGAAGCGCGGGAGGGTGAGAGAATTCACCAGAGCCAGAGCGGAGAGCAGAGCAGGCAGAAGGACCGAAGTACACTGCTGAGGGAGCAGCGGGCGGCAGGAGAGGTCTGCGCGCCATGTGGGACCTTCCTCCGGTGGCCGGGGAGCAGCAGGGGTTGGAAACAGCACTGCAGAGGCCGCGGGAGCTTTGCAACCCAGCGCTCAACCGCTGC